CATTAGAGATGACCGCCATTTTGGATAGAAGTTTAAATTTTAAAAAATGATAGGGCAACAGGCAACTAAATGTGAAAGCAAACAGCTGACACTTGAAATAAAATGGGAATATATCCAAATGTCAAGACAGTATTGATAATTCTAGCAATTAAAAGAGCAGTAGCCTTCCACACATTTCACAAAAGAGCAAGTTCAGCTTTGCCTCGGTGAACCCAGATTTCATTTCAAGGGCAGGAGGATAATGAGTCAAATGAATCCTTCACAAATCCCACAGTGAGTGTAACATATAAGATGTAGTCCCCTCTCAATATATTCTGAAGCCCATTTTTAAAACTGTGGCTTACTTTATGGTTGCTAATTTCTCTACCTGATGATCTGGATGTTACTAATTAAACACATAAAATTAAATGTGTAAAGAATAGAATTAACAATCCAGAAAAATGGAAGTTAAAGGGAGCTGACATTGATTTTTCGAAATAACAAAGGACAGAATGAAAAGGAATTTGTTTTGCTCTTATATCCTGATGCATAATAAAAGATTGAAGGGGCAAATTCAATGAAATTAAAGGGCAGGATATTTTAAATGAATGGACATATTTATTTGTCCAGCTGGTATAATCACATTTTAGCCCTTACAGTTACTAGAGGTCATGAAAAACAAATACAAATACCTGGGATTCAAAAAGAGAAGAATGATTTTCTATGTAGTGAAAACATTTGTAGCAAAGATAATGACATAGTTAATTATATTGCCATACTTCAGGAAGCATTTTAAAAAACTACAAAAATCAACCCATCAGAAATGGCATAGGAGTTCTCTACATGGTTCTGAAGTCTTCAGAATTTTATATTGCTAAATGAAGAGGTAACTAGACTTCTATTATTTGTTAGCTGATAAAATGGGTCCCATTCTTGTCATTTTGGGGGGCGAAGTAGGTTTGAAATCATCATTTGCATGTTCTCTAAATTTGAATACCAAAGTGGAACATGCTAAAATATGGGCTATGACTGGAAATAGAATTGAGCTTGAAGCTGGAAATTGATTTAAATATGTGCTCTTCTATGTATCATTTTCATAGTCTTCAGCAAGTCACACACATTCTTTGGACTACAGTTTTCCTATTTGGTAGATGAGTTTATTGAGTCTTGCTGGAATACTTTCTGCCAGGGACTGGCCAGACAGATTGCAGTTTTATCTTGGCATGCTATCTCAGTATGGCACACAGGTGTAAATAGGATTGATGGCCCAGATTATCCAGAGCAATGGATAACCTGCCATTGATAAATTAAAGAAGCAAAACACTTCTAATTACACTTCTGTGCCAAATACATGTTGTAATAAATAGAACCTCTAAAAAGGGAACTATTCGCCTGTACCTCTTGGTTAAGAGTAATCCTCAGACTTGTTTACTCAGCAGGCTTTAGAATCTCTTTTCTTTGAGGTCTGAGAATGAGAGGAAGCACTTGGTCTTTTTCTTTTAGGATGAAACTTTGATCCTAAGGGGCTGAGTTACATGTTCCTCTGATTGGCTACTCTCTGTGTTTCTGTATCTAGCATTATGATTCTGGCATTTTAGTGTCAGCATAACTTCCTCATCAGGTCCAGAAATACATAGTTCTTTTTATGGGGTATTCGGGTTCTCAGTTAAGCTGAAGACTTTTAAGTCAAAGAAAAATAAGTTCAAGTAAAGAAAATAAATGCAAAGGGGGCAGAGAAAATGTAGAAAAGAGAAGCGATGATGAAAGAGGAATGCATAATAAAGCTAAAACAGTCCTCAGATGTCAACATACTCAAATGTGTGTCAAAAAGCCATTCTTACTTTAAGAATTATCAATAATAATTTATTGGTAGATGAAGAAACTGATGCTAAAATGGAAATCTGTAATTTACATAATTTTCTCCAAAATGATTTTGAGTAAGTGTCACAAAAATAAAACTTACCAAACAAATTAAAGGATTATGACTGAGGAAAAGCATGACAAAGTTTGATGAAATTTCAAAATTGGCAGGCCTAACTCAATCCATAATAAGAATAAAACAGCAAAACATTAATAATAATTAACAGTACATTTGTAATCTCTTTAGGTCCTGGATAGCAATTTTTTAAGTAAGTAAAGTAGTATTTCTCACAGTTACTGTGCAGTCTATGAAAACCTCCACAAATGCCAAAACTATTTCATGAAGCTTTAGCAGAGGACATGGTATTGAAATTCTGAATAGAAATGATTCATACTTAGCATTTCTCTGGCATTAGAGAAATGATTGGAAATTTTTCTTTTAATTAAAACTGTCAGCATGGAAGGATTTAAGGATGATCAGAACAAATCCAACCAGCAAACTTCATTAGCCAAGAAAGTTACAGGAAAAGTAAAAACACTATTTATAAGTATTATAAGAAATGGGTCTACAAATTAGGCATATTTGGTGGAGTTATCATAAGTATATTGATTACAACCGTGGACAGAATTTTAGAAAACTCTTCAACTAAAGTTCTGCAAGTTATGAATAACCTAGTAGTATGATGATCACAATAAATGGAAGAATATTTTGCTCTAGTATTTTTCTGAGCATGAAGAAATATATACATTTTAGAGGCTTATAACTTAAGAAAACTAATCAGATGTTTTCTTTTTTTCTATTCAGTTTATGTTAAAATAGTGTCAGAGATAAAATAATAAAGAATTAGTTTTATTGTAACCTAACTCAATAACCCTAGTAAAAATCACAGGAGTATCAATGGTCAGGACTTAAGCCATGCATTCAAATAATAAAAACAGTATGCCTAACACAGCACTAGAGAGTTCTCCTATCCTGTCCTTAATATCATCTAAGTAGTAGAAAAGCAAGGACTTTTTAAAAATAACGAATCAGTACCAAGTGTCTAAACTAGTCCCTTCTTTTAAAAAAAAAAAAAAAGAAAAAAAAAGGAGAGAAAAATTATTCCCTACACTACACAGTCCAGATGAAACCTTGGGTCCAAAGACTTGCATATAGTGGAACCTCAAGAGGTACTTGATACATAGATATAAAAATTAAAATAAAACCTTGAGAAAAGACCAAAGAGCAATATTCTAACAAGCTTTGGAACAATGCTTACTGGGGCTCAGCTTTCTCTAGTTGCAGTATCCACATCTGAAATCTACCATCTGAAGAGACTGGCAGAAATCTCCTTAAATTTTATTTTATATTTTAGGGAGGCTGTGTTGCCAAGGCTAGCCTTGGACTCCTGGGTTCAAGGCATCCTTCCATCTTAGCCTCTCAAATAGCTGGGAATACAGGGGCACACCCCTGTGTCTAGCTTCCTTAAATTTGCTTCTGTTACTCTCCCGCTGCTCATGGACTACAAGTGCTTTTTACCTTCCATTGTCACCAATGAAAAAAGTTAAAGCAACACATTTAAAATAGAGGGTGAGTTCCCAGTCCACCTGGATCTTTAAATTCTGGAAGGCACTGTGAGTTGAATAAGTCATCTCATTCTGCTTTACTTTATCCTCCTTAACAATACATCTGCTACCAACTTCTAGAAACTCTTTCAGAATATCATAACTACACCAAGAAGTTTTACTTGAAATACCTCCTAGCTCTTCTTTTGCTTAACTTTTTCTTGTTTTTTTTTTTATAAAACTCATCAATATCCCTCCTTTAAAATTTTATTTATTTTTATCAAATTCATTAGTATATTAAATTACTTTAATATTATGACATCAAGATTCTCAGTTTATAAACTGTGACTATGTAAATATTGCAGATATTAATGAGCAATGTGCATATGTCATACAGCCTGCTTAATTTATACGGATTACACTTACTCATCCACTGATCTATCAGTCATCTGTGTTTATATGTTGATGTTCACTTCTGTCTCATACAGACATACATGAAGATATGAGAATAAATAAGAAATTGAATGACATTCCATTCATGATTCATTTATTTTTTTCCTTTTGAAAATGTTATGAATACTTAACAGTTGTACAGATTCATGGGAAATGTCCAAAATGTTGAATCTCCTAATATAAAGGGCTTTCACTACCTTCTCTGACATTGTAACAATTTCTTTCCCATAAGACATTTTGATACAAGCATACAATGTATATCAAATTAGGATATCCATCACCTTAAACATTTATCATTTCTTGTGTTAGGACCATTCTAATTCCACTTTTCTAGTTATTTTGAAATATACAATAAGCTATTGTTAATTATAGTTGCCCTATTGTGCTATCAAACACTAGATCTCATTTTTTCTAAATGTATTTTTGTACCCATTAACCAACCTCTCTTTACAGATTTTTATTTTCTTTCTTGAGCCTCCTAGGTGCAATGTTCTAGGGGGGAAAAGAATCCACTGACCTTGTGACAGAAGCATTTTAAATTGATCTATCAATTATATGCATTTCTAATAGCTGTTTTATTTTAACAGGAAAACAAAATGTTTTGAATAAAACGAAATATAAGCAAACAAGCGTTAGCAGTAATATATCCTGCACATTTTTCCCATTTCTTATTAGACTATAAAAAGGATTGGACATTACTCTAAATGTGTATTTTTTGGAGGCGAAAGCAAGGACATCTAGCAGGATAATGTCTTTTCTCCACTGCCATCGATGAACAAAGGGCCAGTGCAGTGTAATTTATATTAGGAGATTCAACATTTTGGAACATTAATCCTTTGCCAACTCTTTTCGTATGCTAAGTCTTTACAATTGAAGTCATGTCTTCAATATGTTGATTCTCTAGAACTAGAAAAGAATTTAGGCTCTTAGCAACTTTTGATCCATGAATAATTTTACACATGTCAATTGCTTCCAAAATTGTAAGTTTCTTCAGTTTTATGAGGTTTCCTTTTTGTGTTACTATCCTGATATCCTGAAAGGAACCACTTTTTTTTAAAGGGCTTTCACTACCTTCTCTAACATTGTAACAATTTCTTTCTGTAAGTCACATCTGCTCATTTGCTTTTTGTAATGTTCCTTTTGAAAAAAATCCATATCTCTACCTCTGAATTCCTGTCACTTTGTGGTATTTGCCTGGAAGCCTGCATGGCTTTATCAATTAGTTTGCAAGTCCAAGATGCAAGACATGCTGAGTTTGGATACGCTAAAGATCTTGCAAATGTAGATATAGCTGCCTCCTCATCTAAAAGAGAAATGTAATACCTCTTGAAATATAAGTTTAAATATTTTCATTAACAATGACATAATAAAAGTAATATTACTTCCAGCCAATATTTATCATTTATTATATTTACAACCTACATCATTATTATATTAAACATTTCACACTAGAATTTTTTACACTTAGAGAAACTGGGGCAAGTCCTCTTTATTTAAATTGAAATATTCATACTGTGTCAGGCACTCATGAGATAGAATCCTTGATTAATGCAGGTTCATACAGAAGCAGATTCCTAACGGGATATTAAAATGAGTACATATGGCTTCCATAATGGACATCGCAGGGTGCTTTTTACGTATCCTCTCCAAAGGCGGAGGCACTCACCCCAGTGACTGGGAATATTGATTGTTGAGGACCCACAGCTGCGTCTCACTGGGTGCGCATTGCCCTTGGCCTTGGAGAACTGCTTGACCCAAGTGTGCACCCCTTTCCAGAGGAAAGAATCCCGCTACTGACCGGCTGACATGGCATGAAGAGAAAGGCCCCGTCCCCGGACTGCCTCCACCTGGCACACCTGAAGGACTGTGCCTGCTCCACAGCGTCTTTGTCGGGAGAGGCCTGTGTGTCCGCCTTCCTCACTTCATTGCAAGTGGGTCTCACAGAGCACTTCCCACCAAGTCCACTGCATCTCAGGGAATGCATCCATGCAACGCAGCCCAAGGAAACGGAGAAGCCATCTCATCTCGCAAAACTTTATAGGAGTAATGTTTAGAGGAAATTAGCTCAAAGAGAGCAGCTGACACAAAGTGCTGAACACAAAGTCCTGAATGTTTTACCCACTTTCCACGCATGATTTATTTGGAGGTAAGGTGAATTTCTCTGTGGCTTTCTTTAGTTTCTGCAGACGTAATAGATGTTGAAGAAGGCTTTTCCAGCTTTTCCAGTTGTCTGTAATTGTCTGCGACAGTTGGGAAACAGACAGGCAGAAAGTACTTCACATTCTAAACAAGGACAAGAACAATGGACTGATCATGCCTCTGGCAGCCAATCTACCGGTGCTCCCGCAGTCAGCACCCAGTCCTCCCATTCCAGGCATAAGCAGAAACTGGAAGGTGTGACCCCTAAGACATAATCTAGTTAGCCTGTCAGAGCTTGTCTCAATCTTCTCCCACTGCTAGGAGCTCCAAGAGAATCCCTTGCAGAGAGACCTGAGATAATCACAAAGAAGAAAGCCTAGCATCTCATTCAATAGAACATTGTAGCAAACTTGCTGAGGGTCCCCCAGTGCCTTAAAGTTGGAGGAGGAGAGGAGAGTTGAAAAGACATTGAGCCAGAGCAGACTTTCTGCATTGAAAATAGATTTTACCATGATTAGGCTGCTGAAAGTTCCTTAAAGGAAATGACACATACTCTCTATCAAAGAGCCAGAACAGGGGGCACCAGTCTCACGGAAGGTACAAATGCAGAAAGTTCAAGAATCAATAATGAGAGAACCACAGTGTTACTGATTAAATGAAAGGCGTTTACCTCTTTTTTTCCTGTCTTTCCTATGGGGTTACAAATACTCTGGAGACGAAAGAATCCCAGAAGGAAGAGTGCAGACATGCAGTGAAAACCATGGAGAACCAGGGCATGGCTCTTCCCAGCACTGGTCCCTGAATAGGGGAGCAAAGTTTATGGGGATGGTACATGATCCCTGGAAAAGTGACTGAAATTTTAACCTGTATTGGCTGGAATAGTAATATCGGAAATTGCTTAGGATTCTATGAAACCTACCTGAGGTGCTTTTAAGGGACAGGAAATGAATCAGATACAGCAAAGTCAAAGGCAGTGATTGAGAACAAGAAAATAATGTTTCTACCGACTAGGGTAAGAATGTCCAAGAGCTGGTTACATTTCGCTTTTGTATATGTGAGACTAGCTAAGATCATCGGAGAGGGATGATTAAATTAAAAAGCTACTTGAGGCCGTTGCTTTGTTGAAATCTGCTGTCTCCATGTGGCTGTTGGAACTATCACCGCCACGTTTTCTTAACTTTAGCCCGCTCCCCTACCTTGGGAGGTGAATCTGTTCTCTCTCTCTTATTTACTTTCTAAATAAATGCTGGAAAAGTTTTTTTTAAAAGCTACTTGACTAGATACACTAACTGAAGGAAACATTTTCAGTTTACTAGAGAATTTAGTTAGCTATATCGCTTTATTTTTTGTTTTTACAAAGTTCTCTGACCTTTTCTGATTGTAGGTTATAAGATATCTGTTTCAAAAAGGATACTATCCTATACCTGGGAGGAAGAAATGCTGTAAAGAAAAGCCAAGAAGAAAGTGGAGAGACAAGCCTTGCTGGCTTTCCCCAGTCTATTTGTTTTAGATCATATCCTCATGTCCGATCACATTTCTATGCGGTTGTCCATGCTTCATTATGCCCAGTCAATGAAGTGTCCATAAAAGTCCCAGGAGGACAGAAACGTGGAAAGACCTGGAGGGTGGTGTCCTGGGAGGGAACGGAAACTCTGGCCCATCCACCATACCTCGTCCTATGCACCTTCTCAATCATTATTATCCTTTAATATCCTTTATAATAAACCAGGAAACCTAAGTGTCTTCCTGAGTTATGTGAGCTGCTCTAGCAAATTTATTGAGCCCCAAAAGGGGTGGATGGGAGCCCCAACTTGAAGCTGGACAGTCAGAAGTTCCAGAGACCCAGACTGGTGATGGGTGTCTGAAGGGAGGTGAAGACAGTTTTGTGAAACTGAACCTCCAACCTGTGGAATGTGACACTATCTCCAAGTAGACGGTCAGAATTGAATTTAAGGATGTCAAGCTGGTGTCACTTGCAGAACTGATTGCCTGCTTGCTGGTGGGGAGAAATTCTCACATATTTGCTCACAGAAGTCTTCTGTGTTGATTGTTGTAGAGTGAGGGCAGAGGAGAAACTGTTTGTTTGTTTATTTTTTTACTCTCACTGACAAAAAAGGAAGCCAGACCACAGCATAGCATTGAATGAAAAAGAGAAAGCCACAATAAATTACTCTACATATGCAAATAAAAAGGGCATGATTTTAAGTTTGGATAGGATAAACCTTTTTCTCTCTTTCTCCAAAGTTTAAAATTAAAGATTCATAGTGGTTCATCGTATTAACTGGTTAACAGTGATTACTGGAAGTGAAGGGGACTTTAAATTTTGCTTTATTTGTATTGTTTGCATTTTTTAATACAACATACATTTAACCTTTGAAAGTAAAAAGAAAGGAAAGTATGATTTAAAAAGAAAAAACAATGAAAGGAATGAATTCATCAGACAAGGAATGGTCTCTTTTCTGTATCCAGGTCTCTTCAGACATTAGTGGGCATGTCATGACTTTATAATCGTTAGCAATACCAATTAAGAATGGGCTCTGCTGAGCACATGAATGCAAATCCAATAAAAAAACATGTCCAACACTTTATTAACTCCATCAGGGAGATGTTCATTCCTATTTGCTTTCTTGCTTCCTGCTTACATGTGGCTTCACGTAAGATAATGTAGTAAACATAGTCTTTGGAAACTGCCTATTTTCAAGACGTAAAGCAAATCAATGAATTTTCCATGGTGGCAATGGATATTTAAATGTTTTCAAGACAGCCCAAAAGTATGCCCACACATCGGAAGGATGTGAGCACATGACAGCGGGATGGTTGCACAAGTAGGGAATCTTTGGCTAGACCCATAATTCAATTGAAATGGACATCTAAGGAGGAGTTTGTGGCATTTTCTTCACTGTATATTTTCAAAGTGATGGAGTTGTGTCTATCCGTATGTGTCAGTATGAGATCCTGTGTAAAATTAGGACTTCTTAGTGCTCTCAGTCCCTGCAGTCCTGCTCTGAAGACGTTGCTCTGAGCTGATGCGGTGGTCCCAATGGAAGGGTGGGCTGTTGTCCCCTTCATCTGCTTTCCTTTGAGTGTCTCCATTTTTCCTGGCTCTACATATTAAAATCTCTTCTAACAAGTCAATAAAAAAGGAAATCAATTGTTCAAACTTTTGGAAGCCATAATTTAGATTCAGAATTTTACTTACAGAAGAAAATTGCGAAGTCCTATTACTAAACAACTTCATCTTAGAAATAAACAAAAATTAGTTAGTTTCATTCTTAGTGAGTGATTTCTTTCGAAGTTTTCAGTCTCAAGCGGCCAACACTGGGACCAAATATTTTACCCCTCAGGTCAGCGCACTTGTACCTTAACACGCTGCATTCCTTTCATTGCTGACCTCATTGGTAGTGTCTCTTCTAGCTTCCAGGGCCTAGAATTCTGAATATGACTGGCCAAACTAATTGGGAGAGGTATGCTCTGGCAATCTAGGGTCAACATCATAGCTGTTTAGCAGCATCATCTCTCATTTCAGTGGAGATTTTGGTCCTATTAGGCAGAGTAACTACTTTCAGTTTTCAGTCAACTTCCTAATGAATCTACTTACACTATAAGAATTGTATGGTTATGCTGCTTCTGCGTTTGTTTGTGATCTTGGGAAGCATATGCTCATTCTTACAAGGCTGCCCACTCTCACCCTCCTGTTCAACATAGTGTTGGAAGTCCTAGCTACAGCAATCAGACAAGAGAAAGAAATCAGGGGTATCCAAATAGGAAAGGAAGAAGTCAAGTTATCCCCCTTTGCTGATGATATGATCCGATACCTCGAAAATCCAAGAGAATCTGCAAGAAAATCTCACACTGATAAAGGACTTTAGCAAAGTCTCAAGGTATAAAATCAACGTTCAAAAGACAGTTGCATTCTTATATACCAACAACAAACAGGCAGTGATCCAAATAAAAAGCACAATCCCATTCACAGTAGTCATAAAAAAACGAGCAAACAAGCAAAAAAAAAATACCTTGGCATCTTACTAACTAGAGACATGAAAGATCTTTACAACAAAACTACCAAACACTGCTCAAAAACTCAAATATGACACAAATGGAAAAATATCCCATGCTCATGGATTGGAAGAATCAACATTGTTAAGATGTCCATCCTACCAAAGG